CTCTCTCTTTCTCTCTTTCTATCTCTTTTTCTCTTTCTCTTTTTATGCTTTTTTCTTTTAATTCTTTTTTTAGATTGATCGAACCCAACGTTACTTCGTCAAGGAAATAGTTCTTTTGTGATAGTTCTATGGATTTAAAGTATTATACTACACCGAGGGAAAGTATAAGAGAAGAGTAATTTTTTGTATTTATTTATTTTTCTTTTTTTTGATAGGATAAACCAGACTTTGTTCTCGAATATTAATTATTCCTTTTTTTTTGTTTAGCATTAGGAGAATTTTTGTCTCTTCAATATTTAATTCGCTAGAAAATGTTTCTCTTTTTTTTTTCTCTTTTTTATAATATATCGAATAATAAATTCTTTGAACACACATAAACGTGTTCTTTTGTGTAAGTTTGTATTATGTAATATGTATGTAGGTATTTGTATAATTCTAAAGTATAGATCGAGATTTGACTTATGCATTAAAAACGAAGGTAGTACTTGCTTGACATCAATAGAATAAAAATTCTTATGAATACAAATGCATAAACGTATATACGTGACTAACCAAATTACACATTGTGTAAATTGTGGACTGTCCAATGTGACCTGATTATGATTGAAACAAAAGGTAGATAATTAAAGTAAATTTATTTGTCGGAGATATTTATCGTAATGATCAAGCCCCCATTTCCTTTTTCCCTTTTTCTTTTTTTCTTTTTAACCATCGTCGAGAATGCGTATGCACTATTTCAAATTTCATATCTATAAGAAGAAAAACTGCATTGCATTTTCTGTGATTTATTATTTTTATAAGTAATATTTTTCACGATACTGTGTGTGTCTGGTTTTAAACAAATGAAAATTTTGAAAATAAGGAAAATAAATATTTTTCTTATCGTTGATTATTTTTCGGGAAATTTTGGATTGTTTTTTTTTGTCCATTTTTTTTTACCATACTGTACCGTTAAGTTTCACATAGAACGAAACTTTAGTTATGCTTGTTCGTGAAATGTCATTTTATCGGTTGTTAGTTGGGAAAAAGAGAAAGAGAAAGAGAGAAAGTGAAAGAGCTAACGTTCGTGTTTTATGGTCGTGAGTTATTACCCTTCTGGTAAGAGAATTTAGAGCTCCACTCGTACTTCTTCCTCTCTCATTCTCTCTCATGTGTAGTTGTTTTCTTTTTTTTTTTTTTTTTTTTTACTATAAGCTGTTATTACACTTCGATAAACTGGCAAAGCGACGTTTTATCGTTTGTAATTAAATTTTTCTTTCTCTCTTCCACCCCGATCGCCTCGGAATCGAATGATCACAAGAATTTGTGGATATTATTTTATAGAACGTTTAAGACAATAACGATTCTTTTGTTAAATGTTCTAACTAATTTTTCCTCATAAAAAAATCAGTTAATCTATATTTTACGTATTCACAAAATCATTGCAAATTATAATACAATATTATTTGTTTATATTGAATATATCTCAAACTGAAAGAAAACAAAAAATAATAATAAAATCTTCTCGTATATTAATTAACAAATAACACAATATATTATATATATATATATAATAATAATAAAGTAAATAAAATTTCAATATATTATTTGAATTTTTATATATATTACACGTCGTTGTAAACAAAATTAAATCAACGAAATTTGGTTGTACAAATTGAACGATAGGGGTAACAATAATTAATAAATAAGTAAATAATCGTGCGCATATATATCAAAGTTTGATACAAATTTGTAATGAAAATTCATAGGTGAGGGCAGTAAATCAATTATACAGGCCTAGTTTGAAGGCTGAATATCGATCGATTTTCAGAAAAGGGATCATTTTCGTGATTATGGCTTTGTTCGATGTCTGCTCAATAAGCTTGAGCGAATTCAACGGTAGGAACACTATTAGTCTTGGGCTTTTCAGTTGGAAATTATTAATCGGGTTGGTTGCACGGACTTGTATGTAATGCATATCGTATAGAGAATCGTATACGAGGAATTAGAGGATTTCCTTTTTTATCTGAATAATGGAAAAGGAATTTTGGGGAAAGGATTTCTCATAGTCAATCGATAAATCGCAATGATTCTTTCCCATTTAGGATATTATGAAGGTAGATAATATGCTTAAAGGAAACTTTCATCTCATTTTTTTCGTTTATCTATTTCCTAACAGTTGATAGATATTTGCATTCGCGTTTAATTTCAACGAAGCTTTGACATCGTTTAATAAGATCAATCCGATTGTTTGGAAACGTTGGATTAAAAACTTGATTAAAATAAACAAACGAAGAAAAAAAGAGATAGAGAGAGAGAGAGAGAGAAAATATAAGAGTATCACAAATAAAATGGTAAGAGTATTTTAAACGAATTGTCGCTGATAATGATCTCTGGTAAATACAAGAAAAATAAAGGTGTACTAAAAAGAAAAAAAAAAAAA